GCATGCTTCTTGAACGTGTCGAGGTCGAGGTCCTCTGTCCCGGGGTGGTAAAAGGCATTGAGAGGCGCGTAGACTCCCTTGGAGAGAGTCTTGGATGGGGAAGGAATCAGATTGGCTCCATGCCCGTTAACGTAGGATGCTGCGTCCGTCGGCAAGAAGTCAGAGCGGTGCTAGGAAGAGTTTCTGGAACTTGATCGCCATGAACGAGGAAAGCGTACCGGCAGTCATGGCGTGAGTCACGAGGTGAAAGATCAAAAAATGTGTGAAGTGAAAGGAGGAGGAAGAGAGAGAGCGAGAGCAAGAGACTCCAGGTCACGGCGCGCCCCGAGTGAGCCGAGTACTTTGGCGGCCCGACGTTCCGGAGGCTCGGCAGGCTTGCCGATCAGTGAAGACTCGTGACAAGAAGCCGTGATTCCAACGGCGATAATGAGCTCACAAAGTGCTGAAGAAATTTGACTAGAATAGTCTGGACACGGCTAGCATGCGTCGAAGGATGTCCCGGCACGGCTAGCGAGTCGTTGTGCATCTACGTGGCCATTTCACCAACCATTCGATGCGCCCATCCCCTCGAACAGCCCCCCCATCTGCCCATTGGCATCTCCCTGACCCCAATCTCCAAATCCAGGCCCGGCGCCGAAAGTGTCCAACCCATTCGTCGGCTGGAGGTCCATCATGAAACTCGATCCCGGCCACAGCTCCTCGCTCGAGTCGACGGCGCCAAATTCCTGGAAAAATTGCAGCGAAAGGTCGCCTGCGACGAGTTGTGCCGACGGAAGTGACGGATATTCCCACTGCGAAGGCGCCACCTCGCTCGTTGCCGCCATTGGCATGTCGACGGCGGTGCTGGCTGGGGGCCGGAACCCCCCAGCAAGAGGGATGTTGCGAGTCGGTGGCGGAGTGCCGGTGTGTGGCGCACTGCGGTTGTTGAGGCTCCGCGAGATCCTCTGAAGGACCTCAGCGAAAGTCTCAACTTCGTCGTCCTCCGGTGCCGCTACGCCAGATGATGCGGAGATGAGCGTCTGGGCTGCTCGACCCACTCGACGCGCCTCCTCGGCCCGGAAGAGTCCTTGGATGATTCGGCTCCCCGTCTCGACCACGTTCTTCAGCGACGGCGTCGTGATTTCGTCACTCCCTGAGAAGATCTGAGAAGCAAGAAGGAGGGTGTCTTTCTTGGCGTCGATTTCTGCAGCCGGAAGGTCGTGGTCGATGGCTTGGAAGAGGCTGAGGAAAGGGATGGAGTCAGCAGCTGCGCTGTTCAATGCTGATCAAAGAACTCACTCGTTGAACAGGACTAAGGTCGCTCCCATCACCTGAAAAGGCAATAGTCAGAACGTGTGCCAAGTCTTTACAAAACGACAAATGAGCCGCTTACGTGGCTGTAAATCCACCAGATATCACGCGTCGCCCTGAAGATGTTGTGAGTCGAGACGATGACTACTCGAGCCTGTTGAAAGAAGTCAGTTCCTCTGCTTCGTCGGATATCTGACCAAAACGCACCGATTTGATGCAAGCGTCCGTCGAGAACCTGTACTTGGGCTGGCTGTACCCTCGGGTGCTGAACGGTCGGTGAAGTCGGAAGATGCGGTTGTGCAAGCCCTCGAGAGCAAAGTGGCGTTGATAGCGAAGCATCGGCTGCTCAGTCTCTTCTGCCGACACTTCGAGCGTCCAGCGGTCAGGAAGCGATTCGAGGATCGTGTGGTAGCCACGATCGAGTTCGAGCACTGTAGCCAAGTTGTGTGAGTGAAGGAGTGGTTAGGGCAACGACAGACTCGACTCACCCGTCTCGTAGGTAAAGTTCTTTGTCATCACGACGGCGTCAAACACTTTTCGGACCTGTCGAGCGAGCGCAATCCGAATGCGGTCGGAAGTCGAGTCGGTGAGAATGTTGGAGGGGAGCGAGTCGACCTTCCAGTCGCTCGGGCTGAGGTCCGCGTCGTTGAGGTTCCCTGGATCGTCCGTGTCAACTGGGGGTGCAGCACGAGCTCAGCAGCTTCCTTTTTTGGAGACGAAGAAAATTCACAGTGCAGAGGGGATATCAGGTAGGAGCGGTTCTTGGACGACGCGCCGATCCAGTCTTGATACACGAGCACTCCCCACAGCCGTTTCGCCGCCTCCCGCTTCAAGGAGTTCTTCCCCGGAGGCCAGGCTGGATCATCACCAGGCATGCTGAAGGGGACTCGCCGTCAATTTCACTCATCGAAGAAGTTGAGAACCGCTCACATCTCTGGGTTGGATCCGAGTAAGTTGAGACCAAGAACGGTTGCGAGGCGGATGGCACCAGCAAGCCAAGTGACAAGCTGGCTCGGCTGGCCTCGATTGGAAGAGCAGAGCTGAAGATACTGGGTGTAGAGAATGATGGTCTGTTTATGACGTTTCGAGTTCAGCCGACCTGAATTCTTATCAACCTGTTTCCCGCCACGTAAGCACTCACCTGGATGCTCCTCACGCGAGGTATTGTCTCCCATTCCCCTAACGCCAAAGCAGCTTGAGACGCTTGAAACCAAACTTCTGGCAGCGTCCGGAGCTCCTCGTCCGTGAAACGAGAGAGCGGTGTTGGGGCGACAGGCGTGTCGACAAGGGAGAGTGGGGAGCGTGAGGTATGGGTGCTATCGAGCGCCACGCAGATGACCTGTGTAGCAAAGGGGATGCATGAGCAATTCAAAAACCTACATATACTGAAGGCCAAAGACGTACCATGAGGAGCAGCGCGATCCACAGCAGATCAACTTCCTGGGACCTGCCGGACGTCACCATCTCGTGGAACGCCTCAAGCTCGACGAGGAAGCTCGGGGCATGAAGATGGTGGAACAGCCACGAGACTTGAGTGAAGTAGAGCTGTACGAGGTGATCGACGACGTCGGGTAGCGGAAGAGCCCTGTAGATCCGCTCGAAAGCTTCGCCACGTTCTCGCTCGACGTCGGCGGGAGAAGCGTTGAAGTCGACATTCAGATGCACTCTTGAGGTGTAAACGTTCGCTCCGGGTCCAACAATCGACGTAAGCGCCTTCGTGAGTTCCAGCGGTCGCCCTCCGAACCGAATCTCCCTCCCCGACGCGTCGCCTCGTCCGCCGGCGAACCGAGCATCCCCGCCTCCCTTGAGCACTTTCGAGCCGTGTATCTCTGGCGAACGCGTGATGCCATTTTCTGGGAACGCCGCCGCTCGACCAAAGACGCCGTTCTCAAGATGCACCGCCGCATCTTCCGTGTCGCTGAACGTCTCCTCCTTGTCGACACCTCTTGCGCCCGTGCTCCGTGACCGATGAACGTCGGTGGAATGTGAGGGAGTCGAGGATTGGTGGATGTAGGGGATGAATGAGGTGAGGTTGGGAGGGAGGGTCTTGAGGTACGCTTCGACGTGGGCGAGGCGGGCGGAGACGGCTTCTAGGTCTGTCGTTCGTGCTATTGTTGTCGGGAGGGCGGCTTCGTTCGAGAGGATGTCCCAGGTGCAGTCGGAAGGCTTTCCTCGCTTGTCGCATTGTCCACATACTCTGTCATGGGCGCATTGTCAGCGGCCGTCGAGAGCGGTTGCTACATCATGTCTAAGAAGAGGGCTCACGGCATCGACCTGTCACACTGCAGCGGCATACTTAGCACCATATCACACAATCCATAGCTATCGAATCCCTCATACCTTGATCTATTGGATGGCGCCGGCCGTTCGAGCTCCGTCAGCGAGATCCAAACAAAACAACACGAGCCTTCGATCTCACCTTGCGTCGCTTGCATTCCCCTGTCCCACGTTATCGCTTAAGATCCATGATACATGATCTTTTAGAGAGCAGAAATGGAACGCACTGCAACTCAACGCCATACGATTCCGCTTGTTGCGCTTCCGACCCTCCTCATCCTCCGATCCCGACCCGTCGTCCTCGTGCTTCGCCTTGCCCTTGCCAGAATGCTTCCGCTTGGGGGCCTGGGGAGATGCAGAGCTCTCGGCTGGCGAGCCCAAGGTGGATGGCAGGCCTGCCGACGCTGAAGCGGGGAGCGACCGCGATGGTCCCGCGGCTGAGCTCATTTGTCTGCTTTTCAGAGGAAGTGGTTAGCTTCGGAATGCGTAGCATTACTTCTAGTCGTGATTCACCTTGCCTGGAAGCTCCACCGTTACAGTTTGTTGACGTGTTGACTCAAACTCGGCGACGCTTTCTTCGACCGCCGTGTGATTTTGATGATTTTCGCGGTCTTGCATTATTTTGTTGGGCTCGCTTATCTCCTTAAGATGCGCGAGCTTGGTCTGGAAAGTATGATGAGACTCGTGAGCAGCTAAAATGAATGTAGCATTATTTTGTCTACTCTCGAGTCGAGGAAGGAAGTGGACGTGCAGCTTGCGTTTCTGCCAACGTCAGCAATCTCCCGCGATTGTTTACCGAACTCGAGAGGCTTACGAAAAGTCTTCTTGACTGTCCCTGTTTCCATTCGGCTCCGTCGAAGACACTTTGTGAGACTTTCTTTACTTTGACACTCTGTCCCGCTGCTCGAACTTTTCCAATGACTCTGCAAGTCGCGCGCCGCGACCAGAAGCAAGAGGAACTCCTTTGTGAGAAAGCTGACCATGCTCTGGCGTTTGAGTGCGACAAAAGTGAAGCTTAAGAGCTGTCAATCTGTTCAGAAAGCTTGCTTGCGCAACCTTCCGGCATGATGCGCACTCAGGCGGACCACAGAAGATATCATCTGCGATGATGTGGCCCTTTCTGCGAGCAAGTTCGAAGGTCAGAGCGAGTGAGCACGGGAGATGAACAGGGGTGCAAACTGTCAAACTCTCGCTAAAGTAACTGATTGATCCAGTCGAGTCCTTTGCATTTTGAGAAAGCATCTTCAGCAATCCGTCTGATCGTACGTCTCGCTATCAGTACTTCCCCCCTACGAATAGGGATAAGCAAAAGAGTGTGTATCAAGAATGGCAGTTGTAGCAGGAACGAGAGCCAACAGCTGTGAATGACCCTTGAGGGCAGAAAAAAGAAAAGCAGCCACCTGGGGGTGCGAGCGGCAAAAGAAAACAATTGAAGGTCCCTGCCGGAATCGAACCGGCGTTTCCAGAACAATCACCAAGAACTCCTGATTAATCAGAATCTGGCGTACTAACCGTTATACGAAGGGACCACTGGGTTGTGAAAGAGAATCCCAAGCTGGCGGTGACACGACCTCGCCAAAAAAATAAAAAAGCCACGTGTTCTACCGTGCAGAAAAGGTCAGCGGCAGGGCAGAAACGAGACGCCTCTGTACTCTATTGATGTTCACACTGATTCCAGGTCGAAGTTACCCTCAGAAATGGGAAGAGTGGATCAAGTCCACGGGACAGGGGTGCGAGCAAGGGCCGCCTGGACCTCGCCTTGCGCTCGGTTGCGACATTCGGCCTCCTTCTCCTGCGATCTCCTACAACTTTCACTATTCCAGATCTTGACACATCTCGGCCGCAGGTCACGCCTCGACATGTCATCACCAGCCCCTGCCTCTCCGTCATCGTCGCGTTCCAGCGTCGCAGGGACGCTCCGCCTTCCGCCGCCACCCCCTCCACCGAAGCCGCTGCACCTCACCATGTCCCTCAGAAGGAATGAAGAGGCCGGCAAGAGAGCTGGAATTCTGATCTGGGGCGACGACGGCGCCGGTGAAGAAGGCAACGATACGGGCAGCACGATCCGAGGTCGTCGTACAGCCGCCGGCGCAGGCTCGGACGACAGCGAGAAGGGCGGGGAGGGAGCTTACGGCGAGACGAGTGGGGAGCAGGAGATGAGCGTTCAAGAGTTGATGCAGAGCTTCGGGGGTGGCGAGCTCGACGGCGATCTGCCCAGGAGGAGCAACAAAAGTCAGAGGGAGCCCAGCGCGGCGACGAGCGCAGGAGGGAGCACCGTCAAGCGCGGAACTCGGAGGATGCGAGCAAGAGGGACCATCAAGAGGAACTCAATTTTCTTCGATGCGACGCTGCCGAACCCGCTCGTCGACCCGAGTGCAAGTGAAGGAACGCTGGACGAGGCGCGACAGGACGTCGACGTGGCGGCCCCCACCTCGCCTTCCACTCTTCCGACCACTTCTCCCCTCGATGCGAGCTTACTGGACGAACCTCCACCTATGATGGCCGGAGTCGTGGAGGAAGAGGCCGAGGGAGGATCAGAAGACGACGAAGACGATCCGAACCTCCTCGATCTCCCAGCGTCGCCCTTGCTAGCCCTCTCGCTGCACCCGTTCAGCGGCGAGTCGGCTTTCGGCGAGCTCTCTTTTGAAGGGGGTGTAGACTTGTGCGTCGAGGTTGAGGACTTGGGGGGAGGGTGGAGCTTGGGGTTCATCAAGAGTGCGGGCGAGCAGGGGAGGGGACTCATCCCGAGGGGGTGGTATGCTGTGCGTGCTTCTCTGTTTCGGGACTCTGTCTATCGCTAACTGAGACAACGATGGCTCTCATACAGTATGTCGATAAACCGAAGCCACTCGACGACGAAACGGAAGCGGCCGAGACGCACGAGAGACCAACCTCGGAGGCTTCGGCGACTTTCTCCATCGCCACCTCCGACCCGACAATCGCTCTTTTTTTCCCTGTTGTACTAGAAGCGTCAGAAACTACTTCTTCAGCCGACCCGTCTCCTGCCGTCTCGTCACCCCTCAACGCATCTTCGCCTCCAGCTCACGCCACGTCATCGCCACCCCTCGTCGCTCCTTCGCTGCCGTCAACGCCCTCCACTCCTGGCGACCGCGTATCGATCCACCCTTCCAAACCAGTCCTTTCACCAGAGACTCCCCCATCGAATACGACTTCCCTAAACCCTCCGAACGCTTCCCTCTTCCCGTTCTCGCCCCTCTCCCTCCCACCGCCTTTCATTCCTGCTTCATCGGCGTTGCCAGTCCGATCGCCTACGCCGCCATCACCAAGCCCCACTCAAACTCGTTCACCGAACTTTCCCCTCCCAACTCCTCCTTCTCCAATCTCTCAGCCCTCGACGTCCCTTCTCGCGCTCCCCAGCTTCCCCCAGACACCAATCTCGCCGACCGCGTCCGAATCGAACGTGTCGGAAGTCTCCGAGTCGCCAAGTGTGATTCGAGCAAGGTCGATTGGGCGACATGTGATAATTTCGGGTATCGAGTTCGAGCCGACAGAGTCGGAAGCGGCATTGATGGAGGAGAGTGAGGAAGTTGAGCAGGAAGGAGAGCTCAGTCTAACCGAGGCGGCAGAGGCGGCGGGCGAGCGCATCCCGTTTGACGGGACAAGGCCTTTCGGAGAGGTGGCAGAGGTTGAGAACTTCAGCCGCGTTCACCGTTCAGGAGAGGAGATAGACGAGCACGCCGAGGCCGAGGAAGGCAGGGAGGAGAGGTGGGCCAAGGCGGTGCAGGATGCGGATCTGAGGGCGAGCGGCCACGACGGGAGGTTCGACGTGTTCGAGCCCGAAGGTGCGAAAGTCGGATCGGAAGAGCACGACGTTCATCTGAACGAGTCTCTGTTTGAGGAGCAAGGCGACTATCGGGAAGAGTCGTACCCAGAAGCGGAGGACGTCGATCAAGTCCCCGACCTGCCAAGGAGGATGGAGGTCGTGCCACCAAGGTACCTGACGTCGACGGAGGAAGAACCTTCCCCTACACCAAGGCCGTCCTCGTTCTTCGACCTGATCGGGTTGGGGACGATCGGGAGGAGTGGGAGTGCTGGAAGTATGATTGGCGTTAAAGGTGCAGGAGGAAGAGTCGGGAGCAGCGTCGGCGCGAGCGAGAGGGTGAAAGGCAATGTTTCGGTAGAGGAATGGGTCCTCAACGGAGACGAAAGCCACGAGGAAGAGGGTGAGAGGAGGTGGCACATCGAGGTCTGTTCGCCTTCATCTTTACTTTTGAGGTCGAGGCACTAACGTGGCCTTCTTAGTCCGGTCCAGCGTGGCTGAGCGACTCAGAAGCGTTCGTCGTCCACGTACACTCGCCATGCAAGCGCTCTTCGTACAACAATCGAGCCTACACCTCGTTCACGCTCACCACCGTCTTCGCCTCCGGCGAAGATCCCATCACCGTCGAGCGTCGCTACTCGCACTTTGTTCAGCTGCACGCGCTGCTCTCCTCTCGGTACCCTTTGATCGTCATTCCTCCTCTTCCACCAAAGACATATGCGGGGAGATTCGAGGACGGTTTTGTGGAGAGTAGGAGGAGGGATCTGGAGAGGTGGAGTGGCAGGGTTGGGAGGCATCCGGTGTTGCGGAGCTCGGATGAGATCAAGGAGTTCCTGTCGTTGGAGGGGGATCAGGTGCGCTTCGATTATTGCTTTCCCGAGGTCGCGCTGATCATTTTCACCTGCAGGACTTGAAGCGACTGCTCAATCCGCCGAAAGACGACGCGACGCAGGGCTTCTTCGGACGAGTGTTTCACCCAGCATTCAACGTCGACGCCGCCGACGCCGAAGAGCTCGGAGAAATATTCGATAGTCATACTAGGGCGGTGGAGCTCGGTGGGGGCTTCAAGACGGTCGAGGAGGATGTGTTCAAGCTGCGCTCCGGACTGAGAGGTGAGCCTTCGTTCTAAAAGGGCGGGGGACGACACCAACACGTTTTCACTTCTAGACACGGCTGGAACTCTCAAGACATTGGCACATCACCTCGCGAGACTCGTCGCTGGGCTTGCTCTTCCTCCAGTCACCGCTGCTGAACAGGACGACAATGACGTGGAGCCGCCGGAGAGGGAGAGGCGTCGAGCGAGAGCGTTGGGGTTGCAGAATGAGGATGGCGCGATGACTTGGAAGTATGGCTGTGAAGGTGCTTCGACATGCTCCGCTCTGCTCCTTTTCCGGGTTTTAAAGAGAGCTAATCGTCTCGCGTTACCAGAGTCCTTGAGTACGGCGAAAGCGCTGCAGGCCACAGCCGAGTCAATCGCGAGCGTCGCCGATCTTGTTGATACCCATGTGCGTCCCCATCGATGAATATATGAGGTTCTTACACTGATACTCGGCCTATTGGAACTCCGTATAGGCTCGAGACGCTCTTCTACCTACGCAAGAGCTCCTCCGAGAGATCTCGTACCCGAGCTCGCAGCATGCTGTGGGTCAATCCCTATTCTTCAAACGCGTAGTAGCTGAGTGAATCCCATTCAAAGGCTCTTATCCAATCGCACAAATCGGCGCTCGCGCTTCACAAGCAGCTGACCGCCAGCGACGCCAACGACGAGGAAGCCGTATCGCGCTGCGACACCATCATCAACATCACCTCGGCAGAGTTGGAGCGAGCTCACGCCGAGAGGAACGAGGATATGAGAATGGTCGCCGAGCAGTACCTTGACGGGGAAATCGCGTTCCACGAGCAGGTTCGTCCTGTTAGACACGTGGCTTCGGAACCAGGCTTCGTACTGAGTCTTATTGCAGGCACTAGCAAAGCTCCGCTTCGCTCGTTCCCACTTTGAGCCTTCAGCATTCGCTTCACTCGCCCTCACTGGACCTCGCCTGCGATCGACTCTTGAGCGTCAATCCTCGTCATTCCCAAATCTCCCCGTACCGTCCTCCTACGGCATGCCGTTGTCGACTCTCGGCGTCGGATCCAGCATCGGTCGACCGGGCGCCGTCGTGTCTGAAGTTATTGGCAGCGCGTTGGGGAGGTCGACGACGCCGGTCGTGCATGCGTACGCAGAGAGGGCGAGTGCCACGTCGGGGACGATGGGCAGGTCGGCGGCCGAGATCTTGGCCGAGGCGGGTCACAGCAGGCCTCCTCCGGGTCAGGCGACATGGCGATCGAGTATATTTGGGACTCCGAAGCTGTGGTAGTGGAGTTGTAACCCTAGTTTTTGCCGACAGTCTTGAGACGATGGTTTTCGTGAGCATGAAGACTTGTGCTGTGGTCTCTCGGTTTGAAAGGCTCGTGGCTCGTAGCAACGCTTGCTTTTACTTGTGTCTATCCAAACCTTTGACCTTGTGTTGTCCTCCACTACTACTGTTTAGTCACACTAGCAGCAGTCTACTGAGCTTTCCACCGATACCTCTCTTGGTGAGCCAGGTGTGACATGTGAGCCACCTTGCGAATCCGTGGTTACGTAAAACCGTCGCAGAAAGGAGAGCCACAGAGAGTGTGAAGCGCCTGTCAAATAGTTTTGTTGCAGGAGCTGAAGTTTCTGTCGCAAATCAGGCCCAAGGCGACAGCAACGACGCAAATCGTGAC